GGGCTACGCGACCCAAAGCCGGCTTCTGTGTAGTCAATCAGTCAGAAGCATGCTAGGGTCGATAAGGATCGTATTGCTCCCTCACTTACGTCAATAACCACAGAGGTACTGCAATCAAATGGACCACTAAAATTTGGTTGCTCATCCCCAGCCTGATATAAATAAGATGAGAATACTACTACAGCAACTCAGCTCCATGATTTCATCCACGATCTATTGGGATGGTAAATTTTCAAGTTCGTCCATTCTGAGTGAATCTATTCGAGGACTACGCGTGAGGCCTGTGGACTTTCAAGAGCCTGTCACTCCCTCTGTTTGCTTGCTGCGCCACTCATTAAATGAACGCGGGGACATTACTCCATTCTCTAGTGATATTCAAGAGTCTGGAAAATGAGGATAATTTCACGTAAGGGCTCTTTCCAAAAGCCATTAAGTTGCAGTTTCTACGAGCAGTTTGGCAGCAAAGAAATTTCCTTCGAATTTGTCCAAGCTAAATGAGCTTTCTGTCCCCGAAGAGTCGAAGTTCTGGGTAAAGGTTCGTTCAGAAGCGTAAATCGCTTGCAATTAATGTTATTTATTCAACAGCTTCTGTGATCTCATGAGAGCCAGCAACTTGGCGTACCCAGTCAAAAGGTCAGCACTTTATCCCTTTTTCTATCACCCATAGAATAGGTGCAGCATGGTTCCTCCTATCTTTGTTTCGGGATTTCTTCATTTCTCTGTAGTTGCTCGATATTATTCATGGCTTACCATAAATGGTATTGAGCACTACACCATAAGTGCAAATAAATGAATATTTCCTGACTCCAACTCCTCTTTTCGTAGGACCGTCGGCATTGTTGTAATTATAATGTTATACTTCTGCCAACGAGGTTTAGGGGCAACTTTATTAGTGGCCTGACGTTTCGACGAGATCGTCTTCCTCAAAGGCCTGAACATGGCTCAAGGTTTGAGATATGTCCTTTAAACCGCCAAACGCCTCCTCTCCCTAGCGTTTCTGACGGAAAGCTAGGGGGAACAAGCGGAACCCGAACGGCGCTGTTTTACTCCTGCGGTGGTGGGCTGGGTGAGTTTATCTCTCGAACGAGTCCGCTTGTTCCCCCTAACGTTCCGTCAGAAACGCTAGGGAGAGGAGGCGTTTGGCGGTTTAAAGGACCATATCAAACCTTAAGCCATGTTCAGGCCTTTGAGGAAGACGATCTCGTCGAAACGTCAGGCCACTAATAAAGTTGCCACCTAACAACCTCGTTGGCAGAAGTATAACATTGTAATATTTCCTGAATGAAATAAGAATAAGACCTCATCTCTGGCTCATCTCTACCAAGAATAAGAGTTGAGAATGATTTAGGGCGACTGCAGATATACGGTGTCGACGGTCTGATCAGAGTGTTCGTCCAGAGAGGATTCGAAGACAGTGAAGCTCAACTTATAATGGTTTGTGAGCATTTTCTCTTCCGAAAAAATTTCTCTGCATTTTTGTCACCTTTTCTTCTTATTCGAGATAAGCTCATTATTTGTGAGATTAACGGTTAATTCCAGCAATATGACTTATTTCGGCTAAAGATATTTCCAAAAAATCTCCTACATTGACATGTGCTCTACACATCCTCTGCACTAGTGAGGTCCTGCCTTGACTGCCTTGGTTTATGGTTGCCTTACAAAATAACTTTTAAAAAATTAAAGGAATTTAGGGTGACTAAAAAGTGTGATCCTACATTGAAGGCAAGAATCAAGGCTAAATTGATGGGGTGATTCCACTCAAATGTGAAAGTAGGGGTGGAAGGTGGACCGCCAGTGGAGAAAAAGGAAAGAAAATCCTGAAATACACAGGAAATATGAGCATTTTGCTCCATGCTGTGGAGAATGTTCAAAAGACAGGCAGGGAGATGAGAGATAATGTGAGCGCGGAGAGTGGTAGAGAAGTCCGAGAAGAGAGAGCATAGCAGATCAACGTGGCGACGCAGACAAGATATCGAACGGTGGGCGGACCATGTTAAGTTTGGTGGAGTCTGTTAGAAGTCCATGGCGCCTAGGGTCCTAGTGACGCGTTTCGATGTAGAAAGGTGGCGCTACTTTGCACTTGCGTGCCCAGCACTTCTAGCCATGGTAAGGGCTTCTTAGGTGGGTCTGAGCCCGAACTTTGCCTTTAAGCCACATATTAGAAAATAAAAAATGCACATTTCTCGATAAATTTTTACCTTAATTATTTATTTTATTTTGTGTGTTATAGATAAAAATTAAATTGAAGTCCGGGAGATGGGTTTTAAGGTCGCTCTCCGTTGAGGGGAGTGCTATAGAGACAGAAAGCATGGTGTGTCGTTCGAGTCTTGGACCAACATTTTGTACAAAAAGGCTAAGGAGTATTCAGCAAGTCAAAGATGGTTTTACAGCTTGGTCCACCCAAATTATTCTTGGAGAAGAAAAAGTTTCTATCGAGGTGCACCGTCAACAAATGCCTACCTTCTCGTACTACAGGCAGTACATTACAAATGTACTCAAAATGCTAGGTCAGAAGAAGTTTAGCTATGATTATTGGGGCAGAAGGTTCTCCATTTCATATTTTCCAGGCGCAGACATGGACGACGACACGGCAGGAATCGAGTACCAAGTGAACGACATTATTGACCTGGAAAGGCGAATAGCTAATGTAGGTTCCATTTGAAGCATTGTGCGCCTTCGTGAGATTTTCGAGAGAAATTGTGGCGCAGGCGACTAGAAGCGAGTGGTTTCCGCCTAGGCTACGGTACGTGACGACGAATCGAGTCAGGACCATGAAGTTTCTTCCTCTTTCTTTGGGCGGGGGGAGTGTGGCCGTTGAAGATGTCCCATTCTTGTTTGCCAGGGGCGCATACTAAGAATACAGCCTGTCAGATGCAGCGGGGCGGAATTGCATAGCGCGTTTCAATAGACCTTGACGGTAGCGGTTTCAGTCACCGTTTTTCACTTGAATATAGTTATCTATAGTTATTTTCAGTGTGAAATTTCCCTATAGACGGTATAGGCAAACCACTCCGCACTCGATAATCTTATGACATTTGGTCGAAGTTGCCCACCAGTGAGGCCGTTATCCAGAGGGGTAGTGCAGTAGGGCGTGCAAAGATTAGTTTAGTAGTGACATGGTTTTTAGAGGACACTGGCAATCTGTTTTTTAACGAAGAACTTCTCGCACATCTCGGACCGATGGACGATAACGTTACGGTAAACTTGTACGATCTGGGTTATTTCGAAGGCTTGTCCGCGTTAGTGAAGTCGAAACCGTCTAAGGTAAAGAACGATTGCCGTTTAAGCTCCATTTGTGATGTAGGAGGATTCGCGAAGTAGTGACACCAAAGTCAACGCTTGAGTGTTCTTTGAGATCGGATCCTGCCCGTGCTTCCATCCTATAAAGCAGTCAATTAATACCAAATTGTTTTGAAATTGTGAGAATTTTCCTCTGTCAGGTGGCACGTGGGTGTAGTGGCAAGTGGCACGCTCACTTGCGCGAGGCAGGTTTCCGGGGACATCCGGTGTGGATTCGGTGAGTCGTCGGGGCAAGCAAGCCTTTCATCCCTCGGGAATCAAACAACGTCTAAAATACTGGGACGGTAGTAAAGTGCCATAGACTGGGAGTCAAAGGTGGTGAACTGCGGCCGTAAACGGCGAATAATGAAAGGAGAAACAGGGAGGTGACCCTAGGATAGACGGCGAACTTCAGCACGATGTTGGCAAAACTGCTGCATCGCCCGGAATTGAACTCTCTGCTATTCACTTGACAGCGGGCACTGATACCACTGCGCCATCAACGCTGCATTGCACATGCTGGAAGGGTTGCTGAGGTAGAGAACAGCCGTCGGGGGGAGAGGGGGACGCCTTAGAGAACCATCTTTTCCACCATTTCTAGAAAACACTGCTACTGCCCTGTTTAGAACTGGCTGCAGCGATTGCCTTCCACGGCCTCCTAAGATAGGCCGCGGTCCGCGTGTCGCGATTAGCGAATCGCTCGATTCGCAAAGCTGATACCGGGCATACATTCGTTCTTTATGAGCAGAAGCCTGAATGCTTTAAAAACGTATTTCGATTGGATCGTTGAAAGCTGCTCTACGCTTGGGATTAAATTGCACAGGATGTCACGGGCAGCAGTCGAAGCGTATCGTGCTCGTCTGAAGGAAGTTGCCAAGTCCAAAAAGAGGCCATATTGAGTGATATTGCAAATTCTTGTTTTTTATAATATGTATTAATGTTGTTGTTGTTTATATGTCGAAATTCGATTAGAATTGAATTGAAGATAGAACAAAATTGTTTTATCACCATACTTATGCCCCACCCTGCAGAGTGCAACTTTCGTCACTCCCCCCCCCCCCCCCTGTATGGTCGCAGATTCTGCGACGGATCCACTTCTGCGCCTCGGCCTGTGCAGGTGGCGAAGGTGCTTTATCTTTGTAGCTTTTCGGTTCTCGGTGTACATAGAATGTATCATGCATGGATGGAAACGGCTGATGAAACGTAATTCAAAATTGCTTTTTTTAGTTGCATCAATAACTACATGATGTTCCGTTTGGTATCCTCCTTTGACGTGTACCTTTCTCAGCAGTATCGCCGTCCTCTTCAACAATTTTCGACTCCAACATGTACGGTAAAACAGCTGAGGTGAGCAAACTTCAGTAAAACAGCGTGTATTGTCACGTGTCAGTCGCCCGGAATTCATGGTGAGGGTTTTGTATGCTGTTCTCTGAATGCAGAGCCTTTGAAATGAAAGTAACAAGATCTTCCTTGATAGAGCAACCGTAGAGCATTTTTTCTAGTCTTTCCAGTGGTCTTGTAGTATGTCACTACAGAGTTTCTCTGTCTGAATTGAAGAACCACACGATAAGGATGAATGAAAATCGAAGAAGGAGAAACTTACCTAGTAGAGAACAGGCGGACCTCCTAAGGGTGCGGACCGACACGCAATTCGCATCGAAGGATATGCCCCGGCGATCTAGCATGGCCTTTCCCGCGGCGCAGTTGGCGCGCTATTGGCGCGGTACGCCCCCTCTCGCGTCGTCTCGTGTCTGAGTCTCTAGCCGTTAGCAGAGAGAGAGCGTTAGCGTTGAAGAGGGCAGCAGCCGCGATGAGAGTCGCATCAATGCGCAAATCAACGGGCAAGGGGTCCCATTTCTCGGGTTCTAGGCCATTTTCTCATGGTTTTTCTTCTTTCATGCACCGCTGACCATCCTCTAAGTTAATTTCCATTGGGACTGCCTTCTCATCTTAAAATCTGCCTCTGAAGTTATGAAGCCAAAACACTCCTCGAAGCAGGCTCTCAAGAGGATTGGCAATGTTCTGAAAGAATACTATGTACTAATTTTATCCAAAAATGGGTGGAATACTAACAGCTGTGAAAGCAGGAAGTACTCTCAAAAAAGTCCAAAATAAGAAATTTCTCTTCGTTAGTCGCTTAGAAGCCAGGGCTGGGAGAATTACGTGTCTGGACGTGTCTACAGCAACTGTTGGCTTTATGCCAGCAACCGACACGGCTTACAAAAGTCATATTGAACCTTCATATTGAAAACCTTAGTTGATTATTGAACAACCAGTATAACTGCATTCTTTTTGAAGGCACCACGATGGGAGATTTGCGTGCAAGAAATAATTGACTACCTGGGTATGCCGTTGGCGACAGCTTTTGCTGACACCTACTTCTCGGCGGAAGACAGGAAGAAGGTTACTAGTATATACTTTGAAGGCAAAATTCTATTCAAAGAGATGCTCTTTAGGCTATAGAGATGATAGGCGACTTCAAGAATTCTATGAAAACTCTCCTACTGGATGCCGAATGGATGGACGAAACAACAAGGGCAGCCGCTTTGAAGAAACTCGAGACCATGAGATATAAGATAGGGTTAGTGGAATTCGAGTCGAGTTTGACGGACTAGAGCAATTGACATTTTTAAGATTTCCTGACTATATTTTCAATGAAACCGAGGTTCTACGGCCTTTCAAGGGCGTTCATTTGGTAGCAGATCGCTATTTTGACAACGCCTTGGAATTGAGAAAAGCATCTATACGGTGAGAAAAGCATGGTCATAAAATTTTCAGGAGCAATTCATATAGGGAAAACTTCTGTTCTAGAGACAATCTGAACGACTTTGAAAGCGAAAAGCCAGTCTGAACGAATTTCGCGGCTTTTCAGTGATTGCTGTTGACGCCTTCCTTATTCATTCGACAGGCAAGCGAAAGAGTTAGCTACAGTGCGGTATCGACTCGGGACCAAAAGTATGTGGACACCCTGGAATCGATTCTCAGGGGTCAGCTAAAGGCTTTTATGTCATGAAACCTCCACCATTCAACTCCTAGTGGTCGATAACCTACAATGATATTTTCGGCAAAAGATTTCGTTCTAACTTAGCGAACTATTTTTCATGGAAAGTTTTTTTCTTGTGTATCAAAATTATGTGGACACTTTTTGAAAAAACAGCTGACAACATCTTTCCAGAATCTGACACACCCGCCGTAGGCCTACAAATTTCTTAGTAATTGAGCCATAATCTCGTCTCCTTGCCGCGATTGCGTAATGAGTGGGTCTGGATAGATGCTTGCAGATTTGCTTCCCAACTTCAAACTTCTAACGGAACCCTGTATAAGGTCACTATGTGATATTTTATTCTTTTGCTTCTATGATCTAGAGAACGCGAACCACGGCATACCTTTTGTTTTTCTTACGGGGTTACGTTTTCAATAAGGAAAAGTCTGAAGTCTGAGGAATACGCTAGCCGACTTGCCAATCAAAGCCGTTGCGTTTAGCATTTTTCCAAATGGAATGGTGTCAGGGACCTCCCCTGCAAAACAAGTGATTTGCAACCATGACTTTTCGAAAAAGGTTGTAGCCGGGACTCAAGCACCTCATTATAATCCTAGTCGTCGTCTACCTGACATGTTGGCAAGCCAAACTTCAATGTCCCGCTCCTTTTGGAACCACCCCAGACCTTTGATGAACATCTTCCGAATTGTCTCTTCGAGCACATCTGCGGGTCCGACCAAAGTCTCTCCAAAAACCTCAAGACCCACCCGAATAGTAAGGAATAAGCTTCTTTCTGCCAGTCGAGTTGGTCTATGAGAGAAATTTCCACAGAAAGTCTTTTATACTAATTTTACCATTTCCACGAAAGCACTGTCTGTGTGGGTTCAAAGTATCATGTTGTGATCCTTTTTTGAGTGGGAATTCCAACCTTGCCAACCTGAACCCGCATTCATATACAAAGCCTTCTTCATCTTCTTTCGTGTCGTGTGCTCAATTGATTGAATGAGACACCGATTGGTCTTTTTTAAGATCGGGAAGATCATTTATGCGTAAAGTTGAGTAGTACGAAAAGAAAAATTTGAGAAAATTAAGGCTATTCTTCTCCTGTTTTGAACAAGTAGCGATTGAGAACAACCCTCAGTCAAGGTCGAGAGCTTAGCATCAGGATTTCGGATTTCTCTCCAAACCTACGAGGACGCATGACTGGTTGACGTGCTATTTCGCAATAGGAAGGTTCAGAAGCATGGGGATCCCATTTCTGTGCTCGGTCTTCTTCAGAAAAACGCTTGCCGTGAAGAGGAATGATGCCAGAATAAGTAACGAAAGGAGAAGTAAAAATAGGTTAGGAAATCGATGCAAAAACTTCATCTGCCTCAGGGTGTCCACATAATTTTGATACAAAGAAAAAACTTTCCATGAAAAATAGTTCGCTAAATTAGAACGAAATCTTTTGCCGAGAATGTCATTGTAGGTTATCGACCACTAGGAGTTGAATGGTGAAGGTTTCATAACACAAAAAGCCTTTAGCTGACTCCTGAGAATCGATTCTAGGGTGTCCACATACTTTTGGTACGCACTGTATTACATCGGAAATATGAGCTGCATAC